AATATCTTTGTAGTAAATTAAGTTTTAATTTATTTCTTAACAACATTAATTTTGCTATCAAAATTCATAATTTAGATAATTGCTTGAAATTTCTTTAATTTAAAGTTACATGTACAAAAAACAAAATCAAACAATATTAATTAGTGCAAAAAACGGGGTATAAAAAAAAGTATATAAGTATTCCTTCGAGCCGGATTTGAACCAGCGACCTATGGATTTCTACTTTGCATTTAACATCTACAGTCCACCGCTCTACCAACTGAGCTATCGAAGGTTATGCTAAGCCGCTGCCTTATCTGGTTTATGCGGTTTGCTTCGTAAATACGTAAGTACATATGTAGGAGTGTATGTACTTATATACATTTGAATTTATGTATGTATGTATGTATGTAGTATGTGGTATTGTTTTTATTTGTACACTTTCGCTAGCTTGCATATTTGTATGTGTGTACATATATGTATGTATATATAAGCTGTTGTCTGTCTACTTAGTATGCATTCGTTATCGACTCCAAAGACATGATAACATTATGGGTATTCGCGCTTTTGTGTATTCGTTTGTCTTGTTTAAATACCCCTCTATATACAGCTTTGGCGTTGGCGTCGCTTCAACAGCTGACTATGAATACATGAACTAAAATGCAGCCGTCCCCATAGCCAACAGTTGGTGTCGTTCATAAGCTGTTGCAAATAATTAAAATGATGTCAAAATTTGAGCGCTCCAAATATGGAGTCATAAGGGGCTCCCACAACAAACGTTGATATATAAGAACCTATACCTAGCAATAAAATATGGCAAATTTACTTTACAACCCCCTAAACTAAATACAAATAAAACTTCAACCTTTAAGAAAAATTAGTTTTATTCTTCTTTACTCTTCTTTTCAAACAATTAGTACATTTTATTTATTAGTTTTTTTTATATGTAAACATTCATATTAAAATATTTATGAACTATTAGCATCACATCGAAGCTTTATTATATAAACAATATAAAATGTCTTACAAAATATTTCAATGACACATTGTTTCTTTAGTGCGTTTATTACAAAATTGTTCTATGAGAATTGATTTCAAATTTCTTCTCAAATTTTTGTATTTTTTGTTAATTACAAAATTTTAATTTACACGAAATATTAATTTTAATTTTTTTGTGGGAAGTTCTACCGCACGGAACACACAATACGTATGTATTTGTACACGCATCAGAGATCTGCAATCATTCGGCATTTTAAGTCATTGTTTGGCAAGCACAAGAAAAAGTATTAGTGGATATATGTAAGTCAAAGAACAACATTCACCCATATCCACTAATAATCGTTAACGCACGGCACACAAAGCGAGAGTATGAACAATGACTAAGTTATTTGTTGGTATGAACCTGTGTAGTGGCATCATCAAGTGGCTTGCTTTATACCTGAAATGAGTCGCAGCTCCATGAAACACCAAGAGTTCAGTGGAACTACTTAAATGATTTGAGTCTTTTATTTCAGAATTCTTATTATTTGATTTCAAGAATTGAGGAGCGAAACTTTTACAAACGGGAGCGAAATGATTAGTACTCGACAGCATGCAAAAAAAAAAATAGGCACAGCCTTAACTCACGCTTGTTTATGATGGTGCCACACAAAATAATATGGACAAATGAGTCAAATCAAATTGGTAGCCTATATATTCTCGATAGAGTCAAAAATTGCCGGCACAAATAAAGGTAGGAATACTTTGAATATTTGTTCGCTTTAGTGAGAATTAGTGATGTACTATTTTTTTTTTAGAATTGTTATGAGCAGGCATTTAAAAAAAATTGTATGGCTCATGAGTCATGACTGAAGTAGGTATACTAATTTCATTAGTACTCATTGCAGAACTCTGACACGCATACATATGTAAAATACGTATAGTTTTGCTGAAGGCATCCCGCATTTGGAAGATTTTTTGTCTGAGGATTTGTCATGTCTGCGCCGAACAAGCTCATATTTGCTGACTCTTCTAAAAATCATAGGGTGCGTGTACAAAGAATGCCGAGTGGTGCCGAGTGGCGCCGAATGAAGCAAATAAGAGCGGAGCGGATTTGCTGGAGTCCACACTAAACGAAGCGGAGCAGAGCTTTTTGTATGGAATCGGCTGCAAAGATATCACAAAACTTACCTTAAATGAAAATCGGCTACAATACTTGATCAATTTGTTTCAATTGCTTCCACGAAAAATTGGGTTTCGTTTAATTATTTTTTTTTTGCGTTCGCATCAGTCATGAAGATGAAAGATTTAAAAGAAAATCGAAAATAAAAAACAAATCCTTTGCATTCAGCTCCAAAACGTTCGTGGAAAAGCTTGCTGTATGAGCACTTTCATATACCTAGCTACATTCATTTGAAAGCTCGGAATGGCTCCGCTCGGCTTAGCTCCACTTCCTGTGTGAACACACCCTTAGAAGCTTAGTGAGAAGTGAATTTTTTTTTTTGTTTTCGTGTACCTTATGACTGAGAATGCTGGCTGAGTCAAGCCATTTTTAGATTTATATTCATTCTGTAGTAATAATTAATTTTCTGTATGTACACATGTATGTTATGTTTATTTGTACGTATTATTACTTCGGTTTTTTTTTCGAAAGCGAGTTGACTCCTCTTAAAGTTCCATATCCGGCGCCTAAGCTTACATTCTAAAATTTTGCATTTGAACATATGCTTTTTGGTAAAAAAAAAAACACATACACAAATCAGTATTTATTGCTACCACGGCGCTATTTATCTTGCTTGTGTAGCAACTATATAAAGAAGACTCTCTCACCGACACTGAATCAATATTTTATGTCTTATTTTCAGCTTTCGTACAGTTATCTTGCGTTTTTATTAAAGTTATTACTTGCCTATAAATCACATTCTGTTCAATTTCATGTAACACTTTATAGCAAAAAGGTACTTCTGTTGCAGGATATTTGTGAATGTAGTTTTATGGCTAAAGTTTTGATATTTTTATGACATATCTATAATATTCTTCGTTTTCAATATTTTTATTATATGTGCGCCTGGGATTTGGCACACAGCTAAATGATGGAACATACATGCAAAGCAATTTATTTAATCAATTAAGAAATTTTTTTACAATAAAACCATATAAATAAATCACCTTAGACCTAGTTTGCGCTTTATGGATCCCTAATTCAAATGGATAATTTAATAAACAAAACTTTTAGTTTATGCCAGTAATGTGCAGAGGTAGAGAATTTGTTCTTCATATAAAGTGGATAGAAAGCTTCGAAAAGCTCTGCGAACGGGCAAGGTTATGCCCATCACCACTTTCAGCCTAACAATTTTTTTTTGTTAGCAGGCTTTTCCGGCAGGGTAAACCGGCATTATACGAATACTCTATTTAACTTTAAAAAAGAGCGTTTAAACTTTCACTTAATAGTTATATGTTTGGCATGCACAAAAATAAAAATAGGTACTAATGTTTTCGTAAGCTAAAGAATGGATTTTTCACTTTTTGTACTAATGAAAGCTTGAAGCTCTGAAAGTTAATCATTTAGCTTTCGTGTTCAAAGCTTGGAGGTGTCATTTTATATGTATTTCTCGATTTTAAGAGCCAATTCTAAGCTTAAAATTTAAACTTAAAAAAATAATATTCCAAACGCTGCTCGTAAGCTTTGTTCCTTTCATAGTAGATATTCGTTAGAGCTTTAAATCTCTGTCTTTCATGCGACTGGAAGACGTCCCTTGCATCTTTGCAATTAAAAAAGTTAAATTCTTAAAAAAATATATCTACAAATATGATCATCAATTCTTATTTAAGGGAATACGAATTGATTTCTTAATACTAGTACATTTTGGTAATTAGAACAATAGAGCAACTTTGCAATTGAATTGGTGGTTTAGTTGTTTCAGGTGGCTTCTTTAGTATCTATCTACAAAATATATCGATATATTTATATAATGTACATCTATATATGTGTGTGATTGCTTAAAATAAATTACACTCTAAGCTATTTACATATAGGTAATAAATTTTAAACTTTTTAGTTAGCCACGGCGATTATTTAGGCGGTTTAGTATTTTTTAAAAGTTCAAAGATTATAAAAAGATATAGGACATGCTTCAGACATAGTGTCTCTGAAGCTAGAAAAGATGTCTAAAAAATTTATAGATTTTGATTATATTTTTTAGTGATTTTTTTGCGTTTGTCGTTATTAAAAAAAATATAAGTAATAATTTTTACGCTCATAACTTCAAAAAATACATGTAAAGTAAATTGAAAAAAAAAAAATTATTTGAATATTTCTAGATTTCAAAAATTTTGGTGCTTCGTTTTTTCAAAAAGCTCAAAACAATATGTAGCTATAATTTTCCACAAAGAATTTGGTTAAAAATGTGATGACCAAAGAGAGCTTTTACCCTTTGTACCTACGTACCGATAAGAAAAACAATGTTCGCTAAAGCGAGCTTTTACGCTTTTTAACCAATTGTGATCAACTTAAGGAGCCATTTCTCTTTTTTCTTTGAGTTATGGCGAAAAAAACTTTTTAAAGCTCTCTTGAACCGCGATGACCAGAGAGACTTTGTTATACCCCTTATAATTCATAGAAAGCTTCGAAAAAGCTTCTAAAACGTAATTTTGTTAGTATGTATTTTTAAAATCCTTACTGCTTCTTTTTGGTATCAAATTGAAGTCAAAAATCTTAATAGAATAATTCTTAAAATAATAATGTTTCACATTTCATAAAGCTTCACTCAAAAGCTTGTCAATCAGTATACATATTTTCTAAGCTTTGCTTNTTCTTTTTGGTATCAAATTGAAGTCAAAAATCTTAATAGAATAATTCTTAGAATAATAATGTTTCACATTTCATAAAGCTTCACTCAAAAGCTTGTCAATCAGTATACATATTTTCTAAGCTTTGCTATAAGAAACTCTTAGATCTAATCCGAGGCAGCCACATTCAATTTGTTTACCCTTAGCTACTCAGGTCAAATTAATTCCACTACCCCTAATAAATCTCCTCAAATTAATTCATCACAGCAAAAAAAGTTCTCCCATACTTGTAACTTCTTCAATTCGGGCACATCAATCTCCTTCAAATCATCGGAAATATTAAGGCACTTTAGTTGTCGTTTCTCAAAATTATCCTTCGTTACAGGCTGCCATAGATCAACGTGCTCCGGATCAAAGTTGGGATCGGAATGCATGGCAAAGTGTGTCCACATGCCAACCAGCCGCTCAATGCATTTGTACTCGCGTGTATGATTCTTCAGCTTGCGCGCCAATGAGTTGTAAAACAAATAGGAAAGATCATCACCGTGACAGGTGCCACGTACTTTCTTGCCACAGCTGAGTATGCGCAGATGGTTGAAATGTTTCGAGTCAAAATCGAAACGATACAAGTAGGTGGGTGCTGTGGCATGCGCCGTGCGTGACAATACTGTGCGATAGATGGGGAACCAGAAGTACTCGTGGGAAACCATCTGCGGAATAACAATTTAAAAATTACAAACAAGCTTTTAATGAAGGGGGCGCTTTTTAACCTACCAACAGGTACTCATGTAAAGTTTCTAAGCTCGGCTCCTTATCACCATAGTAAGCTTTACGCAATTGTAGGCCATATTCCTTGCACAGCTCGCCATCGCGGTCCATGCCAAGTTCGAGTGGCACCACAAAACGGCAATCGCCAATTTCGTTGAGTAATTTGGGATTTTTTTTTGTCTCTGTAATTTAAATAATAATAAATACAAGAAAAATATCTTCATTTCAAATGAGTTCAGAGTAAGTTAGTAAGAATTGGAAAGAAATAGGAATGAAGCGCTATAGGATATACATAGTGGAATGAAACGAAATGTAAGATTATGGAATAGAACGATACGTCACGCAGTGAAATTTAATAAATGGAAAGTGGAAAGGAATGGAACGGAATGAAACAGAATTGTGTGGAATACAATAAAACAAAATTAAGAGGTATAAAATGAAATGGAATATAAGGAAATTAGATGGAGAAATTAGCATGGAATGAATGAAATTGAATGATATGAAATGAAATAAAATGTGGAGGAAAAATTTAACTTAAGGTAAAAGAATGGAATTGAACGAGATGGAATGGAAGGGAACGAGATGGAATTAAATAAAATAAGAGGTATGAACGGGAAGAGTTAACAATACGGAACGGGATGGAATGGAAAGTAAAGGGACGCACTTAATTGGAACAGAATGGAATGAAACAAAATTAAGGGAGTATTATTTTACATTTAGTGGCATAAAATGGAATCTCATGAAAAAGAAAGAATTGGAACCGAAAAAGGAGTTAAGCGAAATTTTATTTATAAAAGAGAAAGCAATATGAAAATCAGTTGAACGCCGCAAAGCTACTCACCCGAATACAACAACAATCCCTCATTCGACACACCACCAATAATCATCGGAATTTGATTACTCCATGCGGTGCGCATCATTTCAATTGGTTTCTTGGGTACCACACAATGATCAGTCACATATGGCTCGATCACTGGACCAAAGGAGAAACCAATGCGTTCACGTTTTTCTTCATCCGAACATAGATCCTCATTTGCTTTCACAATATCAGCACCTTTTGCTTTGCCTAGAAAGTCAAAAACATCTGTATCATTATTTTCACCCGCATAGCCAGCGGCCACTGCTAGCCGATATGGCCAATTGCGTTGTGGCGTTACTGCCCAGGGTGAAAGTGCATTGCCCGACATGGATATCGCTTTGTGAAAAAGACCACATGTTTGATCGGTTATCATCATATAGTGCACAGAGGCACCGCCAGCGCTGTCACCGAAAAGTGTTATATTATTGCTGTCACCGCCGAAGCGTTCACAGTTCGCCTTCACCCAACGCAATGCCATAATTTGGTCTTTGAGGCCGGCATTGCCAGGTACATCAAAAGTGGGGTCTTCCATAGAGAGAAAGCCTGTGAGAATGATGATATAAATTAGTTACAAATAGTATGTATAAGAGTGAAGTAGGCTTACCAAATGGCCCCAAGCGATAGGTTATTGAAATAATCACGACATCTTCGCGCAGCAAATAGTCGGGACTATAAAGTTCACGTGAGGCTTCACCAAACTGAAAACCACCGCCATATATCCACACCATGACCGGCATGAGTTTTTGTGGATTTAGCTGCGTATGAAAAGAGAAGAAGTTGATGATTTTATTGCTGTAACATTTATGGTTTACGCAGTTTTGTATATGTACAACTCACATTCTTTGTATAGACATTTAGATAGAGACAATCTTCGGAGCCTTCTGTCATTTGAAATACGAAATGCTTTTGCAATGGCTTCGGTCCACGTGAAGTACAACTCCGCACTTCTATCCACGGTTCTGGCGGTTGTGGTGCTTTGTAGCGCAGCTCACCTACCGGCGGTTTAGCGAATGGTATTTTTTCGAAACTGTAGTAGGAATCACCATAGATAGACTTGCGCTTAACACCCTTTATTGGTCCATAAATAGTGCTGACAATAGTTTTTTCGCTGGTACGAAAACGTCTTTGTTGTACTTTAAAATCGACCATTCTGAAAAAAGTTAGATACAAATTTTGATTAGGAAATGTCGCTTGTGTTTGTGAAATACTATACTTAAACTATTTTACCACGCTTAGTTAAGTAAAATATTTTTTTGTGAGGACACAAGTCAGGAGACATATATTCGCCAAATGTATATTGTAGCCAATTTTTATCTTTAGCATATGGAATATAATAAACCTTTATATATAATTTTTACTGTATTTTTTACCTTTTTGATCTTATAGATATGCGTTATATTTATTATATAGCGTTTAGCATTTCATTACGACCATTACAAATTATCTATTGACGAAAAACAATCGTATATAGGGAAGCAATGAGGCCGCAAAATAGAAAAGAAAGTAAAAAAAAACAAAAAAAAAAAACAGAATAGTTGGATGGCGATGATAAGGGGAACTTTTCCACCAAACACTTTCCGGCTTATTTCCTCTAAATTGGTACAATACTTCCGTCCAGACTTTGTTCAAGTTTGAGATATCGCCGCATAAACAAATATATTGGAAGAATAATATTCTACTAGTGCACCCGCAAGGCGTTAAAACGCCCTAAAATTTAATTCCAAAAGTTGTCTCGCATGGCAACCCCCTTAAATAAAGATTATAAATAAAGCCTTTTAAACCCTATTTCAATTGATATCCATCTCTTAGTACTTAATTTAACTTTCTAAATAATTTGAATGTAACTTTTTTACGGATGGCAACCCTCTTCAATCATTATAACTGTTCAAACTAAAAATTTCTAAAAAAAAGTATAGTTCAGAAATAACACCTTGTCAAAGCCATTTCGAGTGATACTAATATTTTAATAATTCATTAAATCTAATAAATAATTTGAATTTAAATTTTTACACTGGTGGCAACTCACTTCAAACACCTCAAAAATATTCTTAGTGTAAATCTTAAGATTTCTTAACACTCATGTTTCATTGTTTATAACTTAACTGAATTCTACTTTTCAAAATGGTGGCAACCCTGTTCAAAAGATTTACAAACTATTACCTCCTTAAACTCTTTTCGTTGGCACCCGTATGGTTATACATATTTCTATTACCTAATTCACTTTATTCAAGTTGAATTTAAATTTTTAAACAGATGGCATCCCTCATACAGTAAAGTTAAGAAACAAAGCTTATTAAAACCATTTCAATTGATATCCCTTTAGTAAAAAATGGTTTATGTTTTTAATTAATTTGAACTTAATTAAATTAAATAAAGAAATGAGTGCAAAAAAACAATAACAATTAATTTTTGAATAATTAATAAAAAATATCCTGAGCAGGATATTTCAGCCAACTCATTCGACAAATATTTCATAATACGTTAAATTTCATACAAAATAAATTTCATCCATTAAACAGATGGGTGAAGAGGTCGCGCCCTTGTCGGATCTTTTACTGCACAAAAAAATGTTAGAAAATCAACAGATATTTTAGGCCAAAGTAATTTTTTTACACATATTTATTTTTTACTAGCTGTACCCTGCCACGCTTTGCTGTGGCATATATAACAGGAATATGGATGATAAATTATTATATTTGTTGTTTTTCCATTGGCTGCATAGATATCAAGGATATC